AAATTCTGATATTTTGAAGTATTCTATAATATTTTTAAATGTATTATAATATTTCAATGTATTTGCACAATTGTTTTAGAATGTTTTAAAATATTTCAAAATATTTTGATATATCTTCATCAATGTTTTAGAAAAATAATTCTTAAATTTTTTTTTTATTATGTTTCTGAAATGGGTTGAAACGTTTCCGAAACACGTCAAAACTTTTCCGTTTCTTATGTGACCGAAACAATATACCGAAACGATATTTTGTTCCTTGGCTATGCAATACAATCCTTCTATCACACAATGCCCCAATTGAATTACTAGGATATGAAATTACTGTCAAATCCCTAATTCAATTTTATGTGTGCGATCTTAGGACTATGACTCTTAATGATTAATTAGAAACTTTTTTCTAATTGTTATTCTGCCTTGGCCAAGGTCTCCTTGAGTCATATCCTAGAAGATCACATAGAACATTCTCCTTTTATTTACTAAGGGTGATAGATTCTATGTTGTGCACTCATAAATCTCCGTGCATGTCTAACTATGTCCAACAATACATATCTAAGTTACATGGTTTAGCATATAAGTATGTTGTATAGTTAAAATATAGAAGGCCATGCACAAAATAACTATGGTGTCTCAAGTCTAAGGATCAGTTGCATACCTATAGTTTTAGGATTTAATATTGACAGGTATGTAAAACTCCATATAAAAAATCCTACATTAGTCGATGGTAATGTTCAGTGTACTTGTTCTCTAACAAGCATCCATACACTTGCTTCAGTGTTTTCACACTAGTGACTTGGATAAGTCACCTCATATCAAATATGAGTAAACATAGTGTATACTAATCTATCTGGATTACATAGTGCCCACATAGTAATCCTATTACTAGGAACATTAAAGTGTTAAGTACTAAGAAGTATATGTCTCATCTTCTCAAGTCTTTGAGAACCTATCTTCTTAACTTATACTTTATGGACTGTATCATGTATATTAAAATGAAATAAAGCAGAAACACGATAAATAAACTTGCCTTTTTATTTAAGTAATGAATGTTGCTAGTACAGCTCCAAAATATCATCTATATGATTGGTCTTAGAGCATAATACTAACAGGAGGGCTGGACAGTGAGGATGCTGGGTGGCTGGCCTGTGGTGGTGGTAGTGGCTGTGGCTGGGTTGCTGTTGGTGAGCAGTGGTGGTGGCTAGGTGGCTGTAGCTGTGGATTGATTATGGTGGAGGTTAGGTTTAGGGTTATAATTAGAGGTAGGGTTTGACTCTGATACCAAGTAGAGAAATATGTATGAGTCAAAGGGATACTCAAACTACGAATAGAGCCTTGTATATATAGCCAAACAATAGTATAAAGTGATGTAAACATCCCTCTGGTTTAGGCAAAATATAGAAGTCATAGTAAGGATAAAAAAGGGAAAAGAAACACTAATAAACTAGATTATAACTCCAACATAATTTAACCTAAACAAACTCCAGATCTTTGCACCCGTTATATATGTTTTGGCCCATAATTAGGTTAGGTGCTACATATTGATCATAAGCTTTATTCATTTTGTTAATCCACACTTGTTTGCTTTTCTCTAAAAGAGGATTTACTATTTTTTTGGTATGGCACTTTGACTTGGAGTGTTCACTTTTTCCTTTAATTCTAAAAGTCTCTTTAACATATCTAATTTTTTTGTTCTTGGCACATCCTTGTATGGATCGTTTAGTTTAGAAAATCTTAAGAGAAAAATGATTCCTAAAGGTTTAAGAAATTAATTTTTGCAATTTCAATTTTTTCAATTAGGATGATATCTCCTACTTTCTGCATGCATATTGCATTTTATGTTTTTGAGCCAGGTTGATATATTTGGGTTGTTTGGTGCTGTATCGAAATCTGAATTTCTGTTCAAGAGTTTATAGTAAATGGAAACATGATCTAACCTCGTTTGGCCGTTGTTCTCAACTCTCGATTCTGTTTTAAGAGGATTGAATATCTTTCAAAAAACATCAGCATGATGTTTTTTCCGTTTTCCAATTATTGTTTTTCAGGGCAGTAATATTAAAATATTCAAAATTCTGTGTTCTCAAATTTTGCTGCTATAAAAAAACGTGTTTCGGAGAACTCATTAAAAAATTGCACCAAAATGCTATTATTTTGATGGACATTCAAACTCCTTCCATTTGTGTAGTACTGGAAGTCTTGTTTTGTTTACTAATTTGTTTTCTCTTTGATATTCACAAAGGTCTCATCTTTGATGTTTAACGGGGTTTGCTCTCCAGGTAACAGTTTCTGGTAACCAGCAACCTGTGCGCACTGAGATAACTGAGGCTGCAATGGAGTTAGGTGCTGATGTAAGTGCATATGATTTTCTCATTCAGGTTCCATGCGTTATTTTAATCTTCTGGATATGTGTTAATCATGCATTGGCTATGTTTTTAGGATTGTTGCCTAGCAATAGCATTGTTGAGACAGAATTGCTTATTGTCTCAAGTTATAGGTCATAAGCACATATTTGAGCCACTAAGAGAGTGCTTGAATGCTCTCACCTGCTTCCATAGTTATACATGTGGGTCAAATTAATACCCAGGGTGAGCGACCCAATGACAGTAGGATTGATTGTATACCATTAGATGTTGATAATCTAAGAAGCACGAACACTTCATTTTGTGCAGAGTGTTGGTGTTGGACACGTCTGGCAGATGGACACACTTCGGACACATGGTGGACACGTTAAAATGAGTGTTCGATTTTTTTATTATTAAAGTTTTTTAGGACATACTGGGGATATGCAATCGACACGCCGGGGGACACGTTTTGAGATTTATTTTCAATTTTTTTGAGAATTTTTTAGGCAATTTTATAATTAAGAGTTATTTTTGTAATTTTAAAGGGATATGAGTCACATTCATAATATAAAAGAAGTTATAATCATTACATTGAGTATAAGACATGAATGCAACATAATTTTGGATATGAATACGAACTTATATACATATGAAATAAACTTTTAATATGAAATTAATTTGAAAAAAATGGGATTACAAATTGGTGCTCTTGAAAATAGATGAAAATTAGTAACTATTTTTTATTTTATCACATGATTATATATATAAATTTATGTATCTAAATACATATTATTTAACTTATCGCCAACGTGTCCGTGTCCGTGTCCGAATTTTTTTGAAAAATTTCGGGTCGGCTTGTCTATGTTGTATCGTATCCATATCCTGTATTCGTGTCTATGTTTCTTAGCTGATAATTTCCAGACATTGTAAAAAGTAGACCCATGTTTGCAACAAACAGTAGAGATTCTTTAGTCCACAACAGATGTATGGGTCAATTGTTTCCTCTCATGTTGCATTCTTCAATTCTGTTGTCTTTGACAGTTCATATTCATTTATTTGGTGTTAACAAATTAATAAACCTTTGTGATCTTTAGTGTCTACTTGGCGGACATAATGCACGTCCACATTGTCCTCTGCAATGTTTGATCTCACTTTCACTGGTCATAAGCCTTAAGTATGCAAGATTTAAAGATGTCAAAGATCCCTTCATTTGGACAACCTTCCATTTGTAATGCTCTCGTCAAACTCGTCGGATCCGAATTCAACTAGTAATTTTTTGCTTCTTGCTTTCTTGTCATACCCATTAGGAATCTGCAACTTGTATCAACTGGTATCAGTGAACTCTGCTTCTGTTACCTGCTACATTAAAAACCCTTGGTTATCCACATAAATCAGTTTCAGTAGGCTTAAACACACTCCGGGCATGAACTCTTTCATGTGGCCTTAAATTACGTTAGGCTCTAAATAAGATTGATTCTCTCCAATTGGCTGGATTGGATGATCCAACATTTGACTCAGTGTCCGGACTTGCTTGGTTGCTGCTTCCCATGGGACTTGGGATTTGTATCATTACTTCCCAAAAATATAATACTTGATTTCAGAGTTTCTGTTCTATCATTCATGCTTCCTGTCTATCTTGCTTTCTTCAAAGTTCTTCTTTTATGCGTATCGGAGACATGTCATAATAGTAGTGTTGATTGGTAAACATCACATTATTGCATGCAGAAACTCTATCATTCATGCTTCCTGTCTTTCTTGAAAGTTCTTCTTTTATGCGTGTCGGAGACATGTCATAATAGTAGTGTTGATTGGTAAACATCACATTATTCCATGCAGAAACTTTCTCATTTGGTTACGGAGGCATACAAAGATGCACACCAGAAGAGTGTTCAGGTGAGAATCATCTCATCTTGTGATCAAAACGACCCCCCCTCCCTTTTCAATTGGAGTGTCTCTTGAAAGCGCACCACCTTTCATATTTTCAGGTGATGATGGAGAGAATGAGTAGCCTTGCCCAGAGCATAGGAAATGCCACAAGGGTTTAAATGAGGGATTCAAGTGACAGTAAATTCGCAAGGATAAGTTTTAATTTTTCCGAATTTTGTGGTGAAAATTTATGTCATGATTGGGCCATTTATCACTTGTTGATTGTAGTGGTGAACAATCTTCAATAAAGTAAACATTTTTTTTTCATTGTTTGTAGCATAACTACCAATGTCCTCCCTATTTCCTATCAGAGTTTTTCATGATATGGGGACGATTGCCTCCTAAGAGCATCTAGCAAGGCTCTTGTTTTCTTGACCCACGGCACTTCTCGTCACCCAGGAAGGAAAAAATTTTGTTTGGGTTTAACACACCATGTGGCACTGTCAGATGACAAGGTACCACAAAAGCAGTTTATGGGACACACAAGTTGGGTTTTTCAAAAAAAAAAAATCTGACAGAGTGATAGGTGACAAAAGCAGTTTATGGGACACACTGTTCATTTCTTAAAACCATTTGGCGATACTGCAACTCTAGATAACTAAAAAATAAAAAAAATTGTATATGACCATGACCTATTAAAATGCACTAGAGAAAAAAAAAATGGGAATGTTTCAGTTTTTAGATGGAAAGCAGGCTTTAAAAAAAAGAAAGAACAGAAAAGAGAGTGGATTTCTGGGCTTCATTTTGAGGGTTTAAACAGTGCAAAAGTACAAGGGAATGAATATATATTTAGTATCACTATAATAATCTCAATTACAATGAATAGGAATCAAAGAATAACCAGCACAAAAATAAACCCCAAAAGAAATGGATAATTCACTCTCCCCACGTTTTAGATTGATATTACTTCAGCAATGAACCAATCCCTTAAATACCAATAAACCCTCACATCCAAACAACTCCTATAAGAACTCCCGATGCCACCATCAAACTGCCCTTTAAGCTAGCAGCTCCACTTGCCGGAGCAATGGCCGTACCCTCGAATTCCACCGGAGAAGGAGCTGGAGAAATTGTCATGAACCTCCTGTGTTTCTCAGACATGACCACCACAATCAATTTTTGGCCATTCTCGCAGTGTCCTTCCACTCCACTTATGAAGTAGAAGGGTCCAGGCCGTTCGAGCTTCACCTTGGTGTTCCCATTGTATGCTTCAATGGGGCTAGAATTGTTGCAAGTCACATAGTCTTTCTTAGTTACTTGTAATACTGAATCTTTGTTACCGTCATGCTTCCAGACTGGTACAGTACAACAAAGCAGGAAAATGGTTAGAGAGAGAGAGAGAGAGAGAGTTTTGGAAATGGACATAGTGGTGTGGTACACAAAAATTGGTTTTCAGTTACATAGTTGACCCATATAGACGTATTTTCTCATGGTCACTTGTAGTCCCGAGTCTTTGTTACTGTGATAAAAAGGGTAAGAGTTTGCATTGGTTGTGTGTGTGTGTGTGTGTGTGAGAGAGAGAGAGAGAGAGAGAGAGAGAGAGAGAGAGAGAATCTACCAAGAGAATCGCCAATAAGGAAACGAGATTTTTCGGCCCATTGATTGAGAGAATCGGATTCAGACGAAGGGATCTTCCATGCATCTGCTTTGCCACCAACCAAATGGTCTCTAGCTTCTGAGAAGCTGAAGAAGAAGCATAACAGAACGAGTGCTCTTGAAAAACCAGCCATTGATAGTTTTCCTCAACCTGACCAAAAAAAAAAAAAAGATAGTTTTCCTCAAACCCCCAAAACCTGCTTCACTAGAACTCCAGAGAGAGAGAGAGAGAGAGAGAGGGAGGGGGGAGGGAGACAGAGAGGTGATTTACAGGATAAAATGGTGGTGGTAGTGCGGAGTTGAGGTCACTTTATACAAGGTAAGAAGGCCAGGGGAAGAAACTAGCCGTTGGAAAAAGATTTCTGGGGCCACAGCTTTTTTGGGTGTATGAGTTAATGCATACATTAAAGATTTATAAACGGTAAAAAATCACGAAATTACATAGCTGGCAGAATACCTCTGAAAAACGCAACGGGTTAGACAGAATTGCTTTAAGGCTTTTTTTGTCCCTTCGAAATTGGCCAAAAACCACCAAATTTTGAGTTTCGAAGCAAATAGTAATTAACTGCCAAACCTTCTTTATCAGGAATTTTCCAGAGCTGTTACTTATTGCTAAATCCTTTTTTTTTTGGTTAATCAAGGTAAATAATAATTAATTTGAATTTTTGAATCCTTTTTTTTTTATTTAAATGCATGTAACCAAATTTGAATCCTTGTTTTCTTATTTGGTTACCAAAATTCGTAGAAATCTTCGTTGGCTTAAGAATTGTTGCCAGGCAGTTATGACAACTAGGTTGAAAGTTGAAACCAGTGGTGGACAATAAACTTTAAATTGAGTCCAAAGAGAAAAATACTAATAGGAAATATTAAAATTTCAGGAGACAAAATAAATATTACATGAAACAATTGATAATAATAATAATAATTATTATTACTATTTTTGGATCAGCGGCCATAATCCTGGAAAATAACCTTGTTCTGGCCTACTTAAACCGTTGGGTAATCTTTTATTAACCTTGATTATCTTTTTCTCAACGGATTTTTTTATATATATAGACACAGAGACACACACACTAAGGATAACTCATACCTAAAAGTACGGTGCAATTAAAAAAAATCGTGCATTGAATTTGAACGCGAAATAATCAAGTACTAAAATCGGACACGTACTAACCTGAAAGCCTAAACTGATCATATATCCTTTGCCTGAAGATATTGTACATAATTCTTGAATATGAAACAATCAAATACTAAACATAGACATGCATTAAACTGAAAATCATTTGTTCATTTTTAATGTCATGACTTTAGTGAAATAAAAAAGGTCAAAATGCTTTCGTTTTAGTTATTAGAGGGATGGTTAAAGCTTGAATGTACCATTTATGTTATTTAATATAAAAGAATTTATTTTGTTCTTTTAAAAGTATTTGGACATAATTTTTCTTAAAAATATGATCCCAATAAATTATCAATCAGTATAGACAATCAATAAAATAATAATTACACAATCCATCATCTAAAAACTGTTAACTAAACAAATAAACTGTGAAACCAATTGCAATCCTCAACTTATATTGCATCAATTCAATCAAGTTGTGTTGTCTATTTTAAACGAAGACCCACAAAATAATTTGTGGTGCTTATACAATAGACCAAATAAATGTACGTGTATGTACAATAATTTATGCATGTAAAACAATAGAAAATCATTCTTCGAACAACTATATAAATAATTGTAAAAGTAATAGACAAAACATAAGACTCTTAAAAAAATGTAATAAACCAATTTGTCAATCACAGACAACTTTAATCACACAACAAAATAATATAAATTATTTCTAAATCAATCAATATCTCAATGAATGAACAAAAACCAAGTAAGAGGTATTGAATTACATTTTGGGTCATTCTAAAATTTGTCCAATTCAAAAATCAAGCTCTCTTTTGTTTTATATTACCGAGAGAAATTGAAATTAATGTAAGAAACTTTCAAATTTTTGGCAGAGTATCATCTAAAAATATGATACCAAAAATATATCAACCTATCTACAAAACTTATATATTTCATAATTATAATCAAATCATGTCATATGCATGCTGAAATCCAACTATGTACCAATTACCATAACATTATTCTTCCTACACAAACAACTGTATGAATACTTGTAAACGTGACAGACAAAATATAAGATTCTTAAAAAATTAAAATAAACTAATAAAGTTTTTCAATCACAGGCTACTTTAATTACACAACAAAATAACATAAACTATTTTTAAATTAATTGCTATCTCAATAAATGAACAAAAACCAAGCAAGAAGTATTGAATTACATTTTCGGTCACTATAAAATTTGCCTAATTCAAAAACCAAGATCCCTATTGCTTTATATTAATGAGAGAAATTGAAATCAATGTAAAAAACTTTTAAATTTTTAGCAGAGTATCCTTTAAAAATATGATGTCACAAATATGTCAACATGTCTACAAAACTTATATATTTCATAATTATAAACAAACAATGTCATATGCATGCTAAAATTCAACTATGTATCAACTACCATAACCACATAATAGTTTTTACTATCATCTTTACATAAACACAATTATTTACTAACTACCACAAAAAATCATAATACTAAACATTGTCATGCCTAAATATGACTATTTACTAATTACTTTAGGCATAATAATAATAATAATAATAATAACCATTGTCTTGCTTATTTCGAACTATTTACCATTGCAAAATTAACCCATAGTTTTGCCCAAACATAAATATTTACTAACTACCACAATAAGATTAAAGAATGACCATAAAACGTAATTATATAGTACACTTGCAAAATGAGTCATTTTTTAATCTAGTTTATCAAAATGAGTCATTTATATGCATGTCTTTGTAAATACTCTCTCTCCATTACAACCTTGAATGTCATTGTGTTAATCTAAATCCACATCTTTCAACTGGGGGAATGTACAACAATTTTGTATTTACAAAAACAATAAAATTTAGTACACGACAATAATTATAAAAATTATAAAATTGGAAATAAAATCATAAACTATAAAAAATAAATTTAGTTACCTTATTCAAACACTCATATTGAAAAAGATGGGTTGTATTTAGCCTTTTTAACTCATGCGCTTCTTCATCCTAATTTTATAAAGATTGAATAAAATAGTAAAGATAAAATAACATTGTTAAAATGTTTGCAATCAGTAGAAATAAAATTGTAAAGATTAAATAACATTTTTATATACAATTTCATTTAAAAATAATGAATATTTTTATAATTTAATATTTGTGTAAATTATATTNATCTTGCTTTCTTCAAAGTTCTTCTTTTATGCGTATCGGAGACATGTCATAATAGTAGTGTTGATTGGTAAACATCACATTATTGCATGCAGAAACTCTATCATTCATGCTTCCTGTCTTTCTTGAAAGTTCTTCTTTTATGCGTGTCGGAGACATGTCATAATAGTAGTGTTGATTGGTAAACATCACATTATTCCATGCAGAAACTTTCTCATTTGGTTACGGAGGCATACAAAGATGCACACCAGAAGAGTGTTCAGGTGAGAATCATCTCATCTTGTGATCAAAACGACCCCCCCTCCCTTTTCAATTGGAGTGTCTCTTGAAAGCGCACCACCTTTCATATTTTCAGGTGATGATGGAGAGAATGAGTAGCCTTGCCCAGAGCATAGGAAATGCCACAAGGGTTTAAATGAGGGATTCAAGTGACAGTAAATTCGCAAGGATAAGTATTAATTTTTCCGAATTTTGTGGTGAAAATTTATGTCATGATTGGGCCATTTATCACTTGTTGATTGTAGTGGTGAACAATCTTCAATAAAGTACACATTTTTTTTTCATTGTTTGTAGCATAAATACCAATGTCCTCCCTATTTCCTATCTGAGTTTTTCATGATATGGGGACGATTGCCTCCTAAGAGCAAGGCTCTTGTTTTCTTGACCCACGGCACTTCTCGTCACCCAGGAAGGAAAAAATTTTGTTTGGGTTTAACACACCATGTGGCACTGTCAGATGACAAGGTACCACAAAAGCAGTTTATGGGACACACAAGTTGGGTTTTTCAAAAAAAAAAAATCTGACAGAGTGATAGGTGACAAAAGCAGTTTATGGGACACTGTTCATTTCTTAAAACCATTTGGCGAAACTGCAACTCTAGATAACTAAAAAATAAAAAAATTGTATATGACCATGACCTATTAAAATGCACTAGAGAAAAAAAAATGGGAATGTTTCAGTTTTTAGATGGAAAGCAGGCTTTAAAAAAAAGAAAGAACAGAAAAGAGAGTGGATTTCTGGGCTTCATTTTGAGGGTTTAAACAGTGCAAAAGTACAAGGGAATGAATATATATTTAGTATCACTATAATAATCTCAATTACAATGAATAGGAATCAAAGAATAACCAGCACAAAAATAAACCCCAAAAGAAATGGATAATTCACTCTCCCCACGTTTTAGATTGATATTACTTCAGCAATGAACCAATCCCTTAAATACCAATAAACCCTCACATCCAAACAACTCCTATAAGAACTCCCGATGCCACCATCAAACTGCCCTTTAAGCTAGCAGCTCCACTTGCCGGAGCAATGGCCGTACCCTCGAATTCCACCGGAGAAGGAGCTGGAGAAATTGTCATGAACCTCCTGTGTTTCTCAGACATGACCACCACAATCAATTTTTGGCCATTCTCGCAGTGTCCTTCCACTCCACTTATGAAGTAGAAGGGTCCAGGCCGTTCGAGCTTCACCTTGGTGTTCCCATTGTATGCTTCAATGGGGCTAGAATTGTTGCAAGTCACATAGTCTTTCTTAGTTACTTGTAATACTGAATCTTTGTTACCGTCATGCTTCCAGACTGGTACAGTACAACAAAGCAGGAAAATGGTTAGAGAGAGAGAGAGAGAGAGAGTTTTGGAAATGGACATAGTGGTGTGGTACACAAAAATTGGTTTTCAGTTACATAGTTGACCCATATAGACGTATTTTCTCATGGTCACTTGTAGTCCCGAGTCTTTGTTACTGTGACAAAAAGGGTAAGAGTTTGCATTGGTTGTGTGTGTGTGTGTGTGTGTGAGAGAGAGAGAGAGAGAGAGAGAGAGAGAGAGAGAGAGAGAGAGAATCTACCAAGAGAATCGCCAATAAGGAAACGAGATTTTTCGGCCCATTGATTGAGAGAATCGGATTCAGACGAAGGGATCTTCCATGCATCTGCTTTGCCACCAACCAAATGGTCTCTAGCTTCTGAGAAGCTGAAGAAGAAGCATAACAGAACGAGTGCTCTTGAAAAACCAGCCATTGATAGTTTTCCTCAACCTGACCAAAAAAAAAAAAAAAAAGATAGTTTTCCTCAAACCCCCAAAACCTGCTTCACTAGAACTCCAGAGAGAGAGAGAGAGAGAGAGGGGGAGGGGGGAGGGAGACAGAGAGGTGATTTACAGGATAAAATGGTGGTGGTAGTGCGGAGTTGAGGTCACTTTATACAAGGTAAGAAGGCCAGGGGAAGAAACTAGCCGTTGGAAAAAGATTTCTGGGGCCACAGCTTTTTTGGGTGTATGAGTTAATGCATACATTAAAGATTTATAAACGGTAAAAAATCACGAAATTACATAGCTGGCAGAATACCTCTGAAAAACGCAACGGCTTAGACAGAATTGCTTTAAGGCTTTTTTTGTCCCTTCGAAATTGGCCAAAAACCACCAAATTTTGAGTTTCGAAGCAAATAATAATTAACTGCCAAACCTTCTTTATCAGGAATTTTCCAGAGCTGTTACTTATTGCTAAATCCTTTTTTTTTTGGTTAATCAAGGTAAATAATAATTAATTTGAATTTTTGAATCCTTTTTTTTTTATTTAAATGCATGTAACCAAATTTGAATCCTTGTTTTCTTATTTGGTTACCAAAATTCGTAGAAATCTTCGTTGGCTTAAGAATTGTTGCCAGGCAGTTATGACAACTAGGTTGAAAGTTGAAACCAGTGGTGGACAATAAACTTTAAATTGAGTCCAAAGAGAAAAATACTAATAGGAAATATTAAAATTTCAGGAGACAAAATAAATATTACATGAAACAATTGATAATAATAATAATAATTATTATTACTATTTTTGGATCAGCGGCCATAATCCTGGAAAATAACCTTGTTCTGGCCTACTTAAACCGTTGGGTAATCTTTTATTAACCTTGATTATCTTTTTCTCAACGGATTTTTTTATATATATAGACACAGAGACACACACACTAAGGATAACTCATACCTAAAAGTACGGTGCAATTAAAAAAAATCGTGCATTGAATTTGAACGCGAAATAATCAAGTACTAAAATCGGACACGTACTAACCTGAAAGCCTAAACTGATCATATATCCTTTGCCTGAAGATATTGTACATAATTCTTGAATATGAAACAATCAAATACTAAACATAGACATGCATTAAACTGAAAATCATTTGTTCATTTTTAATGTCATGACTTTAGTGAAATAAAAAAGGTCAAAATGCTTTCGTTTTAGTTATTAGAGGGATGGTTAAAGCTTGAATGTACCATTTATGTTATTTAATATAAAAGAATTTATTTTGTTCTTTTAAAAGTATTTGGACATAATTTTTCTTAAAAATATGATCCCAATAAATTATCAATCAGTATAGACAATCAATAAAATAATAATTACACAATCCATCATCTAAAAACTGTTAACTAAACAAATAAACTGTGAAACCAATTGCAATCCTCAACTTATATTGCATCAATTCAATCAAGTTGTGTTGTCTATTTTAAACGAAGACCCACAAAATAATTTGTGGTGCTTATACAATAGACCAAATAAATGTACGTGTATGTACAATAATTTATGCATGTAAAACAATAGAAAATCATTCTTCGAACAACTATATAAATAATTGTAAAAGTAATAGACAAAACATAAGACTCTTAAAAAAATGTAATAAACCAATTTGTCAATCACAGACAACTTTAATCACACAACAAAATAATATAAATTATTTCTAAATCAATCAATATCTCAATGAATGAACAAAAACCAAGTAAGAGGTATTGAATTACATTTTGGGTCATTCTAAAATTTGTCCAATTCAAAAATCAAGCTCTCTTTTGTTTTATATTACTGAGAGAAATTGAAATTAATGTAAGAAACTTTCAAATTTTTGGCAGAGTATCATCTAAAAATATGATACCAAAAATATATCAACCTATCTACAAAACTTATATATTTCATAATTATAATCAAATCATGTCATATGCATGCTGAAATCCAACTATGTACCAATTACCATAACATTATTCTTCCTACACAAACAACTGTATGAATACTTGTAAACGTGACAGACAAAATATAAGATTCTTAAAAAATTAAAATAAACTAATAAAGTTTTTCAATCACAGGCTACTTTAATTACACAACAAAATAACATAAACTATTTTTAAATTAATTGCTATCTCAATAAATGAACAAAAACCAAGCAAGAAGTATTGAATTACATTTTCGGTCACTATAAAATTTGCCTAATTCAAAAACCAAGATCCCTATTGCTTTATATTAATGAGAGAAATTGAAATCAATGTAAAAAACTTTTAAATTTTTAGCAGAGTATCCTTTGAAAATATGATGTCACAAATATGTCAACATGTCTACAAAACTTATATATTTCATAATTATAAACAAACAATGTCATATGCATGCTAAAATTCAACTATGTATCAACTACCATAACCACATAATAGTTTTTACTATCATCTTTACATAAACACAATTATTTACTAACTACCACAAAAAATCATAATACTAAACATTGTCATGCCTAAATATGACTATTTACTAATTACTTTAGGCATAATAATAATAATAATAATAATAACCATTGTCTTGCTTATTTCGAACTATTTACCATTGCAAAATTAACCCATAGTTTTGCCCAAACATAAATATTTACTAACTACCACAATAAGATTAAAGAATGACCATAAAACGTAATTATATAGTACACTTGCAAAATGAGTCATTTTTTAATCTAGTTTATCAAAATGAGTCATTTATATGCATGTCTTTGTAAATACTCTCTCTCCATTACAACCTTGAATGTCATTGTGTTAATCTAAATCCACATCTTTCAACTGGGGGAATGTACAACAATTTTGTATTTACAAAAACAATAAAATTTAGTACACGACAATAATTATAAAAATTATAAAATTGGAAATAAAATCATAAACTATAAAAAATAAATTTAGTTACCTTATTCAAACACTCATATTGAAAAAGATGGGTTGTATTTAGCCTTTTTAACTCATGCGCTTCTTCATCCTAATTTTATAAAGATTGAATAAAATAGTAAAGATAAAATAACATTGTTAAAATGTTTGCAATCAGTAGAAATAAAATTGTAAAGATTAAATAACATTTTTATATACAATTTCATTTAAAAATAATGAATATTTTTATAATTTAATATTTGTGTAAATTATATTTTTGAATAAAAAATAAAGTTAATATGAATAAAAATAAAATAATTAATAATTTTATTTTTAATTAGGGAATGAACTACATCCAATAGAATGAATACATTTTCAACTAGATTGACACTTACTCACTTATCTATCATTTGCATTATTCTATCCTTTAAAATTTGTATGTTTAATACATGAAAAATAAAATAATACATTATTTATAGTATCTAAAATTTTAAAATTTTAAGTTTCAAGTTCTATTGTATAATACGAACGATAAAACTATAATTTTTTTAAAGTTGATATGATATTTAATTTAGGGTTAATTACAAATTACATCCCAAAAGATCGTTCGAATATCAATTTGTACCCCCAAAGATCAAAAACCTTAATTTGCAACCCCAAAGATAAAAAATCTCAATGTGTACCTTCAAAGATAGAAATTTGTATCAATGTGCACCTAAAACTAACCGTCATCGGTTTGTTGCCTAAAACTAAATTGATTAATTATACTTAAATCCTTTCATGGTTTGTTGCCTAAAACTAAATTGATTAATTATACTTAAATCCTTTCATACTTGTTACTCAATCATTTAAACTCTTTACCATTTAGAATATTGCTCATACATCTCACGATGTTTGTACACATGTAACACGTAATCCATTTTTGTTGATATCTGTTAATATAACCGTTAAAAAATTATGATTTTATCTTAATAAAAAATTATAATTTTATATTATCCTTTATTTTGTGGGTCCGACATATTCTAAAATTCAAAATCAAGCTTACCATTTGAATGTTTAATAGAATGTAGATATTTATATAATATTTTTTATATCCAATGCAATATATCACTCAATGTGCAACCCTTTATTCTATTAGACATTCAAATGGTAACGAAAAAGGGTTACATGTTATAGGTGCACAAATGTCATGAGATGTAGGAGTAATATTCTAAATGTGAAGGGATCCAAATAACTAAATGACAAGTATGAGGGGATCTAGGTATAATTTATCAATTTAGTTTTAGACAACAAATTGACGACGACTAGTTTTAGGTGCATTTTGATACAAATTTCTATCTTTGAGGGTACAAATTGAGATTTTTGATCTTTGGGGGTGCACGTTGATACAAATTTCTATTTTTGAGGGTGTAAATTGAGATTTTTGTCTTTGGAGGTGTAAATTGAGATTCGAAAGANGTTGATACAAATTTCTATCTTTGAGGGTGTAAATTGAGATTTTTGTCTTTGGAGGTGTAAATTGAGATTCGAAAGANACATGCATTAAACTGAAAATCATTTGTTCATTTTTAATGTCATGACTTTAGTGAAATAAAAAAGGTCAAAATGCTTTCGTTTTAGTTATTAGAGGGATGGTTAAAGCTTGAATGTACCATTTATGTTATTTAATATAAAAGAATTTATTTTGTTCTTTTAAAAGTATTTGGACATAATTTTTCTTAAAAATANGTGCAACGCATGTTATTCATTGCTAGTATCTAATAGGTATCTATTCTTAATCTCCGCAGAAACATATAACTAGAAAAGATTAAACATTTTCTAATATTTTAAAAAATTCTTTTGTGGACTCAGTTTTTATTTTTATTTTTTTTAATAACCAGTACACAAGATCATTCCTTTTATTAAGAAAATCTGTTTTTTAAGAAACAAAAACAAATTCACCTTTATTGTCGAACTCAGTCCATCTCTTTTTTTATCACTCCAAAATAAAATGATCTTTTTTTTTTCTCTCTACAAAATCTCAAAATAAGATAATTGAGAGTGATTCGTATGTCNATACACAAGATCATTCCTTTTATTAAGAAAATCT